TTTCCGGGTGTTATTTCCGAAAACTGTGTAGCATTCACTTTCAGCTGCAAGTCGTAGAGTGGGCAGAAGCACACACTTTCCTGTCATTATCCATTCGAGAAAATAGAGTTATTAGAAGAAAACTCTTCTTCACTTTCTGCACGAATTATTAACTTTTCCCAATCCAGTTCGGTAAAATTACGTGCCAATGATTTTAAGAGATTCCAACTTGATTCTTTGACTTGCGATTCTTTAATATTTGTCTGTTGCTTTTCTTCATTGACGATATGTATTACCACATCATCACAACTTAATCTTTGATTTGGGGATTCATTGATATTAACCTGTTGTCTTTCATCAATGACGATGGATCCCACTTCACCATCACAATTTAATTCTCGGTCTTTGGGTTCGCCAATAATAGTCTGCTGCTGTTCTTCATTGACGATAGGTCTTACCACATCATCGCGGGGTGCTAGCTCAACAACAGATTTATTCGCGCCTCCAGATCCCATACGATCTACAATTTCATTTACATTTTTTTCCTGTTTCCTTAACCTACGTTCCCAACTCAACAAAGTCAATCTCTTGTCTACTAAATCTTGAGCAACGCCTAATGCTACTTGCAACTGTTTTTCTTTCTGAGTTGATTGACCTTCATTTCTGCTCAAACTCTCGTTTGCTTTTTTAAGCCTCCTCAATAATTCATCAAGAAATTCATGAGCAGTTTCATAATCGCCTAACGAATGAAGATCTAAAGGTTTGCTGCAAAAGGGAATTAATTTTTATTAGCTTGGAAGTTCAAGGAGTTCTGAAAATAAGTTTGTTAATGCATTAACACAATACCCGTGTACATTTACAATCTCTCGCACATTTTTCCCGTTAATTATATCACAAAGTTCAATAAATGTCTTTTCATTGTTGTTCAACCACTTATCTCGCTCTACTATTTCTTTTTGCTTTTCTATTAGATCATCTACAATTTTTTGCGTTACTTCCAAGGTTTTTTTGTAGCGTTCCATTGATTCTTCATCACGTGCTTTTATATATTTTTTTGCTTTATGAATATCTCCTAGAAGGGACAACAAGGTTTTTGAATCACGCGTCGTTGATGCTTCGGGATCAGAGGGGAGTTCCTCGAAATTCGTAGATCCTTCGGCAGAATTAACTGACCGCGATGAAATTGCTTCTTTGTCTTCTTCGTTCAACTCTCCATCATCAAGGAAATGTAAATTTTCAAATTCATAAGAATGCTTCAACCAACTCTGGACTTTCAATATAGGATTCATTTGAATTACTGGTGATGGGTAGAGATGCGGTATTTCACATCGATCTATCGGAGTTGGAGATGGAATGCGTGGGCTCAATTTTGATGCATCACCAATAAGCGGAATTTCATTTGAGAGGGTAGAATGATCAAGTGACTGACTCTTATTCGAAAAAGTGTTTCTAGTGTAAAATTTTTTAGTCAGACGTGCATTGTCCTGAGAGTGAGTTGACGTACTTGTATCGGTAAATGGTGGTAAAGGGATCATCACCCTTTCTCTTGCAGTTTCGGCAAAGGATTTTTCTGACCTTAAGGCATCCACATGCCCACTGAGTTTTTCGTCTCCTGAGCTACTCAAACTCCAATCAATGAACTTCGGCTTATCGACTTCTTCTGACGTTGACAGGAAGGCTTTCCAAGTGATGTTTTCGGGTTTCACATTTTCCCAATATTTTGTGTATTCGTTCTCTGGACCTCGAACATTTAATGTAGACGTTTTTGATTGACGAGCGATTCCAGTCTTACGTTCTCTTCTTTGACTTTTTAGAAGAAGTTCTTCCAATTGTTTCAATCGTATTCGCGTTTCCTCTTTGATCATTTGTTCTTTTATTTTTTCGAGTTCATCCCTTCGGCGCTTTTTAGCCTCAAGCCTGGATTTGTATTTCGCATTGGAATATAAGTCATTAGGATCACAACGCTTAGTCGTATTTTTCCTGAAAATTTTTGAAGCATCTTTAGAGACCAATTGACCGGGTGAAATAACATTCGATCTGGACCTTGGTAAGTGTAATTCTTGATTCATTGAATTATTTGTTTTTTCTTTATCTTGATAAATATTTCTAAGTGGGCTTCGTTCGACTTCAGAGTCAAATATTTCAGATGGCACCTTCTGGTGTTGGAACATAGTTTTCGAATCAAGCCATTGCGGTGTCGACCGTTCGGGCACAAATTGTATAATCTCATCGTCCACGGAAATACGATCACCGATACGAGGATAAGTCACCTGTTCGTACTCTCGTTGTCTTTGGGCCTTCACTAGTAATCTAACATCTTCCATCGACAACGTCTTACTCGCTGACAATTCCTCAAACAAATCGTACTCATCGGGATCCACGAATTCAAGTGAATTATTATCTTTAACGCTTCCTCGATGATTCTTGGCCATAAAAGTGATTTTTTCTTGACCCTCGCTCGTTGACGTATTCCAGCTATCAGGAAAATGTGCGCGTAAAGTGTTCAACTTTCTATGAATGCAACCTTCAGCTCCTTTTAACGGAATGTTATCAGTAATGCTGCGCGAAGCTCCAATATGCTCTTTGAGTGAGTGAGGATTTTCATAATTAATGCTGCAAGATTTCAAGGGCGGGAGAAAATCAGCTACGTGGTGTACTTCTTCTCTAGGAGAAAGATTTTCTTTGTAACATTGAGAGCTTCTTCTCATATTTACAATAATAATCAATGCGCGTGTACGTATCTTACTGATAAGATTAGGATCATGTGACACTATCAAAGTATTCCCAACGTTAAATGTGGCCTACATTAGACTGGTATAAACACAACAACGCGTCACAAAGTTTTATTTGATTTGCCAGACATGCACCGATCTCTCCCATTTATGAAGCTAAAAGATGTCTCGCCGCAAAATTCTGATGTGTTCGAAAACGAAACTGATGTTGAGTTGACAAGCTTCGAAGAGATTTCTCCTCTTGTCAATTCGGAAACCTCTGTTTCAGAAAAATTGAAACCTGAAGAATCTAATAAGCCCCGAGATGCTAAGCCTGTGTCGACCACATCGACATCTCCTGTAGTACCACCATTCACATTTTGGGATTACTTTAAAGACGAGTTATTATCTTCTGATTTCGATTCCTTACAAGAACTGAAGCGAGAAAGGGTGACGAATTTTTTGAGTATCCCGTGGGCTATCGAAAAAGTATGAAAAATTATTTCTGAAACGGAAAATTCATACTTGAAATTGACATATTGACATATTTCTGTTTTTTTTTTTTTTTTTAATTTAGCTTATGGTATTTGGTTTTTTCATCTGCATGGATTCATTTCTATATACTTTTACCATACTTCCTTTACGCATAATTGTTGCGTTTTATTCTTTGGCTGCGCGTTGTTTTTCCAATTTCAAAAAAAAAAGGTAACGACCTAGATTTTAAATGTGACACGCTTACAAAACTTCTAACTTATTACCACGTTAAAGGACCGCGTATCTTAATACATCTCAATTGTGCGATTTGCTCAAAGGCCTTTTAATAATACTCGTTTATGTGTCGCTGAGGAGCGTTGATGCGGCGCAAATGTATCATTCAATACGTGGACAGTCTGTGATAAAGTTATATGTTATATTCAACGTTCTTGAGGTAATTCTGGCTTATGTTTGTGTGTTCATCTCCTTGACTTCAACCAACCCGTTTGTTGACATTATTTATAGATTCTCGACCGACTTTGCTGTTCATTTGGCGGAGACATACTCGATTCTCTCTTCTCCTATTCCACTCTTGGGTCTGTGAAATCTGGTTCTGGTGCGAGGAGGCACCTAAGACCCATAACCTTCTTCATTCTCGCATTTATTTATATATGTATCCTTTGCGTTTAAATGTTGAATCCTTACGAAAATTTTGACTCCTTAACGTCTCATTCCGACTTGCAGTGTCACATACAATAATTTTATTCTACCAGGCGATCACACTAAATGTCGCGATTAATTCTTATTCTAACGCGTTATTAACGTTGTTGTTGTCAAACCAGTTTATTGAGATCAAGGGTTCAGTGTTTAAGAGATTCGAAAAGGAAAATTTGTTTCAGTTAAGCTGTGCCGGTATGTTGTTTATCCTCGTTTTTCAAGGATTTGTAATTCAAATGGTGACACTTTTTTTTTTTAATAGATATTGTAGAACGTTTTAACCTCGCCCTCTTTTTGACAGTGATTACTGTTCGTAATCTCATAGAACTTTCGGGTTCCTCGACTCCATCTTCGATCTTACCGACATCATTCATTCCTCTTTTTCCGGCAATGACAACTGTCGAAACGTTATTGACACCTGTAATTATTGTCTTTGCTTCCGAGTTGTTGGTAGACTGGTTGAAACATGCTTTCATAACCAAATTTAATCAAATCCGACCAAGTATATACGATCGATACATTGATGTTCTTTCTAGGGACCTTGTGGTTGGGAACCCTACGAGGATTCACGACCACGATGAAACGAATTCTGCCTATAAACCAAAGGTAGTACAAATTTAAAAGTTAATCCCGATTAATGATAAATCTCATCTAACTTATGAATTATTTAGACATTTGTTGATCAATCGCCCATGGTATCACGTCGAATCGGTTTTGCGTCGTTGCCTCTCGCATGTCTGGTAAATTGCGATTTGCGACTTGACATTTTCACTTATCGGTTGGCTTATATTTGACAAATGATTGATTGATAGACGATGCGAGTGGTTTCTCAAACTATAACAATGATAACAGACTCCCTTCAGGAGTCTGACAAAGAGAGTGATCCCATAAATACGGCGTTTATCAAATTTATTACACAGTCTCAAGGCGCATGGTTCCTTTATTGCATTGTGATATTTTTTATGTAGGTTGGGAATGTGTAATATTGTTGTATTTTAAATGAAAGCATCAGTAATTCAACTAATATTTCTTTCCTTGATCTTTAATTAAAGGCTCATTGTTATTAAGTTTACGGTTGGTATAAACCTTCTTGGATATGCTCACCGAAGGTATGCAAATATGAAACTACGTGATGCAGAGGACATCGCCCAAGCACTTCAACTTCAGCAACAAGAAAAAGCAGAGAAGGAACAGAAGGTAACAAAAGAATTTTTAGTCACGTAGCGGTTACGCGAGGGTTATTATTTAATCATAAAAATCTCTTAAACGAATAGCAAGCTAGAAGTCAACTCCTTAACAATCCCAAAGATGATGTACTATGTCAAGAAAAACGGGATATTACTTTGGACAACATCGACCGTTATACATTATTCAAGAGTCGAATTCCATAATATTAATCACTAAGGTGTCTCTTTGCACTAACTAGCACAAGAAAATAATAATTAATATACTGTATTTAACCGGTAGCTTTAGATTGGTGTATAATAAATGTATTATAGACTTTTGAGTTAATCTAATAAACCAGTATGCTAATGTGATATAGTTAAAATAAGGATTTTTGATTGAAAATTAATTCCAGGTGCCTTTGTTTTGTATTATTATATAATAAAATCTAAATTAATATATATTGTAAGTAATGATGGGTCCCCTAAGGTATTTAATTTAGCATATAAAATTTTGCAGATCACATATGTTCTTTTTTGAGGGACAAAATTTATAGTTCTTCACTGTAATAGAAACAAAAGTCAGGAAATGCTATAAATCAATGATTTGAATGATAAAGAATAATTGTGAGTAGTTTTTTAATAGTTATTAATTTAAAAATTTTAATGTTTTATAGTGAGGGACATTTGACTTTTGTCTTTGTCTCCTTCTTTAGGGACCCAATCATATGGATTACTAATATAATTAATTATCAACAGATCAATATGCTTTGCAAGCATTTGAAACATCGATAATAAAAAATAAAAATAAAAAATGATATAGAAAATTGAATTATTTTAGAGAGTACTGGCTATAGTAGGGAGTATATTAATATAGAAGCAAGCAAACTATCATGGATTAAATAAATATATTTATTTAAATTTAATAAAAGGAAAATTTTTAAATTTAAAATTAAAATATATTTCCTTTTGAAAATATATCAGTTAAATTTTTTTTATTAAAATAAAGTCAGATTAATTTAAACATATTTAGCAGTTATGGTTAAATATATTTTAAAACAAATTCAAATATACTATATTAGTTTCAAATTGTTTTTGCATTAAATTGAATCAAATCAAATCAGATTTAGATTTGAATCAAATAGAATGGAATTAGTTTTGAATTTGAATCAGATTGGATCAAATTATTATAGTTTCAAATTAGATTGGATCAGTTTAAAACAAATTAGATTCATATCCAATTCATATTTATAAAACCTAGATTGAATCGAATCTAGTTAAAATCTGATTTGATTCAATCTGTTGTGATCACTACATATAGGTATATTGTGTACTCTATATTGTCTTAAAAATTATTAATTTAGACTTTTAATAAATATATCTGTTTTTTTATTATCTAATTCTTGTTAAAAAAAATTGCTTTAATGGTTTTTATTTTTATATATATTATTAATTTTTTTAAAAATCAAATTTTTGATAAAAAGTGATTCTTACTTTATTTTTTATTTTTTTTGAGTATCTGTAGCCAGGTTAGCTTGTTAATATTAATCAATTGAAAACATATGTATATTTTCATTCGAGCAGCATGATATATACTACAGCTAAACTATTATTTTAATCAAACTAACTTGTATTAAGCATAAAAGCTTCTAAGTTTAGTTTTAAGGACAATATTTCGCTCTATAATGTCTTTAAGAAAAATCCTTCTAGTCCATTGCATTATTGCCAACAGGTTGTCACTAATATATATAATACCAAGCTATTGAGATATATTAAATTACAAAAGAATTTGTTGAAAAAGGGGAAGGGGATATCTAAAAATATCTAAGTAGATATAAAAAAATGAAAAAATAAAAATTGAAAAAAATATTTCTAGCTTTTTCCAAAGATCTGCTTCTCAAAACCTCTTCTCAATAAGAAATACTTCATTAAAATATCCTTTCTTTTTCTAACCATCTGAGGAACTTATCTATTCTTGATCATAATTTCTTTTTTGTGTACCATCTGAGAAAACTTATTACTTAATGGGAACCTTTACTTTCAGAACATACTTGGTCCCAACCTTCTTTAGATAATGATTTTTTATTTATCTATAATAAAGAGATAACTTTGATAAAACCCAGATTATTATATGACTTAGTAGGAACTGGATCATGTTGTTTCAATATAATACCTTACAGCAGCTATGCCTAATTAAAAAAATTTTATTGATATACATCTTCCATTACCCAAAAGACCAGATTTCTTAATAATCTTTTTGCCTTGTAATAGTGAGAGGTCTCGAAAGTGATGGGAATTCTTGTTGATTATGATATCCTTCAACAACTTCTGGGGAAATATATTTTCAATTGTAACCAAAGGATTGGAGCTTAGTATAAACTAGAAAGTAGTACAAGGCAATAACTATATCATAAAAGGAAGTATAAAGAGGCTATATATTGTATTATATCTTAATAGAAGAAAATTTATTAGAAAAACATAAAAAAAGACAATTCTAAATCCAAAAATAATATTAAAAATATAATTAAAGAAGCAATTTATAATAATTGAAGCTCTTTCAAGATTTCTTTTTAAAATAATAAAATAAATTATATATACTGTATATATAAACTTGAGAAAAATTTATTATTAAAAAAAATATTATAGAAAAAATATTACTTATTAATCATAAAAAAAAAAAAAATAAAAATAGATGTAGTTTGAATCCAGATAGGAAAAATAGAAAGAAAGCATGTTTCAAAAAAAAATAAATAATTGATCTTTATTTATAAGGATCAAATAAATAATAATAATTATTATATTCTTGATAATTTTCATTAATAGTATTGTTAAGATTTATTAATTAAATCTATATCTTCAAATGGAAGATAAAAAAATTTAATTTCTTTAAATATAAATAGTTGAGCCAATATGAAAAAAATTTTTAAACTTAAAGCTTACCAAAGTCAAGACATATTCAATAATTTTTATAATAAAGAAATAGATATCTTAATTAAAGAAGTTCTAAAATTTTTTATTAATAAAATAGAAAAATCATATCTCATATAAGATTATTATAAAAATAAAGAGCCAAAAAATAACTTTAGATAATTCAATCAAATAACTTATTAAAAATATTAATAATGGAACAATAACTTATTAATAAATATAATAAAATAGAATATATAAAAAATGGAATCATTAAATTTTAAAACAACAAGTCCATACATGAAATTTGATATAAAAAAAAATAAAGATAGATATATATGAAATACTATATATCTCTTAATAAATCTTAATAAAGAAGCTTTTTTATAAACCTAACTAATAATAAACTATTAATTTTAAGTAAACTATTTATAAAAAATTTTATTTATTTATTTATTTTTTTATTAAATTGCAACTGCATCAGTAAATTTTTTTGGCAAAGATCTCTAAAGGTTTTCAGGTGTAAAACTCCAGAAGAGCTCTATTGTCATTAGAAGTCTCCGGAGTGGAGATTTATATATAAAACTCTGAAGATTTTCGAATTGTTTAAATTATAATAAAATAATTTTGCATTATTATTAAAATATTTATTTTTAAAAATTTATTTATTGAAAATTACTTTTTTTACATATTTTTATTAATCAATTATATTTACATCACTTATTGCCGAAGTAAACCTTTCTATTCCTACATTTTCTGATTGCAATTTCAGATCATTTTCATCATTTTCTATTTCCTTCAGAGTACTTTGAAATTCAATATTTTTATGCTTATGTATTTTTTGATCTTTATCACTTGAATCGCCTTCTATAAATCTGATTTTCTTTTTAATTTTTTCCTAAAATATTTTATTAGTATATAAATAACTCTATAAAATTTTAAAGATCATTAATTAAAATACTTTTATTACACGGATTTAGAATTGTTAGTATATTGTGATAGCAAATGCAACTTGTTCCTCAGAGGCATCCCCTTTTGGCCAGACTTTTTCGAGAATATATGCCATTATGCTTTGGTTTTCTTTCCTAAGACAGACATAAAGATTTTTGAAACACTCCAGGATTTTTTGCAAATTTTTCCAGGCCATAATTTCGATAGTAGTTGCATTTGTATTGATTGTATCCAGGGAGTTCTTGCCAAAGACTGAAAATATGGAATCTCAGATTTTTGAAGTCATGGTCCCTCGAAGAGATCTGTGTTATTGCAAAAGCTATTAAATAAATAATACTGTTAATAAATTAGTTTATATTATTAACAGCTGCAATAATTATCACTTGATGAATATGCTTTTTATAATACATCTTCCAACATTTTCTTGTGAGACCTTCGAAGAACTCTGAATGTTCTTGCTAAAAATATTCCTCTGTATGTTGGCAAAAATCTTCAGGATTCATGTAGATTTTTTCAAAAAATACGTTTTTTGTGATACTCTTGACCGCATACTATTATAGAATTTAAAATGTTATTGAAGTTCTTTGAAGATTAAAAATTAAACCTTACCCCAATAAAATCCTGTTCGATTATTAAATGTTGACTTGTATGAATTTTACTTTCTAAGTGGGTAACCTTATCTTCGATGACTTTTTGATATTCTAATAACTGATCAATTTTTTATGAAAACTTTGTGGAACTCCAAAAGCCTCTCAAACACTATATTAGAAACTAAATATATGAATTAGTATTTATTTAAATAGTTAAATCTTTTTTAATATATCTAAAGATTCTTCAGATAATTTCCTAGTAGGTAAAAATTCTTGAATATAACTGGAGGATCTTAATTGCTTCCGGGATGGCTTTGTTTCCATTTCAGCATAAGTTGTAGATCTTGTTCTTCAGCTTAACTCGAGGTACCAGAAGTACTCTTGAGCTTTTTGGAGAGCTTTGAAGTACTTCCTTATCATTTTACAAAGCTTGAACCTGAAATCATTTGTTGAAACATGTTATACATTTCTTTTCTTTTATTTGACATTAATAAAAAAGAAAGGACTTTAGAGACCTTATATAATACAAATCTCAATAAGTTATGTCATATTATAACCACATGCTACTCTTCATCACCTTTCGAAAATTACTTCAAAACATTAAAAATGAAATAATATTGAAATCATATGGATAAAATTATGACAACTTTTAAATTAAATTTTTGATTGGCTAAATTAATCAGTATTTTATTGATCAATTTTATTTTAATATACATATTATTATTTTAAATATTTTTGAAATTTTTTGAAATAAAAAA